TGTCAGTGAAAGTACAATGAGTATGTCAGTGAAAGTACAATGAGTATGTCAGTGAAAGTACAGTGAGTACATTAGTGAAAGTAGAATGAGTATGTCAGTGAAAGTTCACTGAGTATGTCGTAGAAAGTACAATGAGTATGTCGGTGAAAGTACAGTGAGTATGTCAGTGAAAGTACAGTGAGTACAATAGTGAAAGTAGAATGAGTATGTCAGTAAAAGTACAGTGAGTGTGTCAGTGAAAGTACAGTGAGTATGTCAGTGAAAGTACAAAGAGTATGTCAGTGAAAGTACAAAGAGTATGTCAGTGAAAGTACAGTGAATATGTCGGTGAAAGTACAGTGAGTTTGCAGTGAAAGTACAATGAGTATGTCAGTGAAAGTACAGTGAGTATGTCAGTGAAAGTACAATGAGTTTGTCAGTGAAAGTACAGTGAGTATGTCAGTGAAAGTACAATGAGTATGTCAGTGAAAGTACAATGAGTATGTCAGTGAAAGTACAGTGAGTTTGCAGTGAAAGTACAATGAGTATGTCAGTGAAAGTACAATGAGTATGCCGGTGAAAGTGAAAGTACAGTGAGTATGTCAGTGAAAGTACAATGAGTATGTCAGTGAAAGTACAGTGAGTATGTCAGTGAAAGTACAGTGAGTATGTCAGTGAGAGTACAATGAGTATGACAGTGAAAGTACAATGAGTATGTTGGTGAAAGAGAAAGTACAGTATGTCAGTGAAAGTGAAAGTACAGTGAGTATGTCAGTGAAAGTACAGTGAGTATGTCAGTGAAAGTGAAAGTACAATGAGTATGTCAGTGAAAGAAAGTACAGTATGTCAGTGAAAGCGAAAGTACAGTATGTCAGTGAAAGTGAAAGTACAGTATGTCAAGGAAAGTGAAAGTACAGTATGTCAAGGAAAGTGAAAGTACAGTATGTCAGTGAAAGCGAAAGTACAGTATGTCAGTGAAAGTGAAAGTACAGTATGTCAAGGAAAGTGAAAGTACAGTATGTCAAGGAAAGTGAAAGTACAGTATGTCAGTGAAAGTGAAAGTACAGTATGTCAAGGAAAGTGAAAGTACAGTATGTCAAGGAAAGTGAAAGTACAGTATGTCAGTGAAAGTGAAAGTACAGTATGTCAAGGAAAGTGAAAGTACAGTATGTCAAGGAAAGTGAAAGTACAGTATGTCAGTGAAAGTGAAAGTACAGTATGTCAGTGGAGCCACTGACTCAAGTCCTCTTTACTTTGTTCTTTTACAGTTGGTTTGACGATAACTCAACATAACCAGTACCAGGCCAGAAATAAGCGTTTGACCTGTAGCATCTCAGTATCAGTGTAGCCAAAGAGAGGCAGTCTGTGCCTTCGAACATACCCACTGTTTTGCATCATGTGCTTAAGGGGATGCTAAACTTGAGACACTTGTGTAGAGAAGTGGTGTAGTCTGATCAAGGGGTGAGACGTCCAAGAATATAGTTCAACCAGATCCAATATCTGTCCCTTCAGGATTTCAGGCGTAATGACACTTTTTAATTACTGTCATGGTTTTCATGCCGGAAAACCATGCCCTTGTCTGTCTCGCAGACCCTAGAGAATAAATTAAGAAAGGAATCCAACTCAAGTCTAGAATGATTTGGCAAGTCTAGATTGCCTCAGATTGCCATTATTCTGGGCTGCATTTGGACTTCTTTTTTTTTTAGATTTGTGTTTTTAAATAAGATAGCTATTTTTCTGGGACTAAATGTATGTCTATGCCATCATCTCAGATCCTTCCCAGATTGATGAGCCTTTGAGAAGTGATGTGCACAAACTACAAGTGCCTGTCACTCAATGAACTTCTGTGTCATTGGAGGGGATTTCTAGAGCATTTAATAAAACTAAGTAAGGATAAGATTTATGGATGAACAACTTCTTTATTACAGTTAAGAGCAACGTTTTGGTGTAGGTTCTAACACAGTTATCAAGCAAGTGATGACGTTTCCGTGTTGGTTCTAACACAGTTATGAAGCAAGTGATGACGTTTCGGTGTAGGTTCTAATACCGTTATCAAGCAAGTGTATTTGACCTTGTACGTACAATTGTCTTTACAATCACGAGCAAACCATGCTTGCCGTAAGAGGATCGGGTGGTCAGGCTTGCAGACCTGCTTGATGCATGTCATTGTATTCCAGTGACCTAGATTGATGATCATTCTATCAGTCACTGGATTATCTGGTCCAGACTCATATAGATGGAATATTGCGGCATTAAACAACAAACAAACAATAAAAATCACAAGTAACTTGTGAGAATTCTTCGTTTTCATCTACATCATGGAAACTTATTACAAAGGCCCCAGCACTCCAGCATGTCTAGATTGTACTTGAATGTAGTTACTTGGTTACACTTTGTCTCAGTACATTTAGGGCAATGATAAGCAGAAGTATTGCGAGGAAGTGTTAAGTTTGACACTGACAACTGTTCATTAAAACCTTAATTTCTTCCAACACATTCTCTGGACTGCAGATGTTTTGCTGAGGTCCGTGTTCATGAAGAAATTGCTTTTTCGCCATTTCATGTGTATTGCTTTTACAAATGTCTTCTACCTGATTATAAAATCAATATTGCAATCTCCCATTTCAAAATGGATGTCTAATGCAATTACTGGTGATTGCGTGCGTAAGTGTGGTCACTGTAAGTAGGTGCAACGTGGGGAGAACGGCCCTAAAGTGCGTGTGCCGTAGCCCCAGTGTTTATTGTGCTATAAGATTAGATGTCACCTCGGCAGCGTAAATTACCGGTGATGTCTTTTACAAGATCCTCATCCTTAGGGCAGTGGAGTTTTCATCAGATTGGGAACCCCTTGATTGAATTGTACAAAGTCTCCACCGCCTAGAAACAGATCCATTTCATAGCTGCTCTGAACTCTACATCTTTGAAATGCTTTACCCGCATCAGCAAGCATATCAATTACAGTTATTTGGGGGAGATATTTCGGTGGGCCGAAGTGATTCAGAGGAAATGAAAGATAACTTACACCACTTTAAAGTATGCGTCCATATCTACCACCTAGTTTATAATGCCCTGGGACTTAACACTGTTTCAATTACATGCTTTGGATAATCAAGAAAGTGACAATTCTTGGGGGCAAATAGCACACTGGAGATTAGGGGTAATTATTGGGAGTGAGCATCTTCCTTCACAAGTTTTCAGGTTAAGTTGGTTTAAGTCAAATAGTAAGCCAGTCCTTTGTTGACCTGATGCTATTTTCAAGAATAGGAATATTACTCATATTTTGGAATATCCAAAGAATCTGGGATAATTGAGATGAAAGATTTGGAGAAAAGGTTCGCTCTTGCCACACCTGGAACTGCACGCAAGTGGTTTAAGCCTTCCGGACAGTTCACTTTGTTTCCTTGTTTAAGGGATTTGTCGACCCACGTTTGAAGTCATCATGATCATGGACAAGTCAGATTTGTGTTTATTGATTTCCTGTTGGCTTGGCCAATCCCATCGCATACACTCGGCAGGTTGTCCCTATGTGTATCTTTCTGGTAGTTATCTCGCAAAATCAACTAACTTTTGTCTACCCATTCTGATACCTACGTAAGTCTTATATGATTTGAACATATTGTAGGTACCTGTGAAGATCCGGGTTAGAATTGTTCTTCATTAACCCATGCTTGTCATGAGAGTCGACTAAAGGGATCGGGTGGTCAGGCTAGCTGACTTGGTTGATGCATGTCATTGTATCTAAATTGTGTAGTTCGATGATCATGATGTCGATCAGTGGATTGTCTGGTCCAGATTTGATGATATACAGACTGTGGTGATATAGATGGAGTGTGGTGTTAAACAACCAACAAACAAAACTGTGACGTGTTGCCCTGAAGCAGTAGCACACCAGAACAGATACTTCCCCAATATTTGTCCTTGACGGCTTCTCTTATATGCGATCCGGGATAGAATAGGTCTTCAGCAACCCATGCTTGCCGTAAAAGGCGACTATGCTTGTCGTAAAAGGCAACTAACGGGATCGGGTGGTCAGGATCACAGACTTGGTTGATGCATGTCATCGTATCCCAATGGATTGTCTGGTCCAGACTTGATTATTTACAGACCGCCGTCATATAGCTGGAATATTGCTGAATGCGGCGTAAAACAACAAACCAACCAAACCAATCTTTTATATGCTCTGTGCACTGATCGTGGCTCCATCAGTCCCATACAGACAGTTGCCATGATGAAGCAGACATTGGTGAGAATGCCATAACACAACACTCACGCTGTTGCACCCGAATGAATGACATGATCCAGGCTGATGGATCCTACTGTCTCAACTCTCTAGTGGAGTAAGGATACATATTTATTAACATGATGTACTGTACAGAAAGAGCCAGTTGGCCAGAGTTGATTATCTTCCAGTTGGATTGATAATCTTTGTTCATATACCTTTCTGCATGGGATCATTGTCTTCGAATTGGATGATGTTTCTGATAAACTTTAAACATTATTGTAACACACCTAGATAGCCTTGCTTGGATGATATAATTTACGGGTCGGTCCAGAAGCAAGTTAAAAAGTGTCACTGACACCTAACAAGTTATGGCTATCCAAGTTTGCCAGCTAAGATATGTGGTTGAACACACTCAAATATAAACAACAAAGATTTAATTACTTTACAATGTTTTAATTGATCTGACATTTATAAATACTTAAAGTCCAAATTATTGCGGCAAAATTATCTTACACCGAACCAGTCTCCCTTAACCTTGTGCAATGACGTCGTCACACATAAATACCATACTAATTGGCACCAAGTCCTGAAATTGCTACCCCCTGTTGTATCCTAAGTACAGGTTGTATTTCTGGGTTCGAGGATGAACCATGACTCTGAACAGTCAGGCGTAATACCTCGTGAGTGTGTTGCATGTCAAATAATTTATTGTGAAACCAAACTGGAATGTGTTCTAAATAATAAAGAAAGGGATAACTGATATGTTTTAATCTTAATATTCTCTTGCACTTTCTTCCAGGCAAGATTTTGAGCACAGAGAACACATACAAGTACCACATGCAGATTCAGGAGGGCAGTGGGGAGGGTGATGCTGGTCCGCCACGGTCACCACAGGCGACAGATGCTCCCAAACCTGCCACCCCAACCAGCAAAACAGCTGGGGAAGTGAAAGCTGGACTTATCAACCAATCGGCTGTCAAACAATCGGCTCAAACCAACCAATCGGCTGCCAGTCAACCCGCTCAACCCAGCCAATCCGATCCCGCTCCTCAACCAGATTCATCCGATGTAGGAATTGAAATTGGTAAAGAAGTAGTGGAAGGGAAACCAAGGTGAGTTGTTTAGTATGTAAATAATGTCTGGAATTGGTAAAGAAGTAGTGGAAGGGAAACCAAGGTGAGTTGATGAGTATGTAAATAATGTCTGGAATTGGTAAAGAAGTAGTGGAAGGGAAGGTGAGTTGTTGAGTATGTAAATAATGTCTGGAATTGGTAAAGAAGTAGCGGAAGGGAAACCAAGGTGAGTTGATGAGTATGTAAATAATGTCTGGAATTGGTAAAGAAGTAGCGGAAGGGAAACCAAGGTGAGTTGATGAGTATGTAAATAATGTCTGGAATTGGTGAAGAAGTAGCGGAAGGGAAACCAAGGTGAGTTGATGAGTATGTAAATAATGTCTGGAATAGGTAAAGAAGTAGTGGAAGGGAAGGTGAGTTGATGAGTATGTAAATAATGTCTGGAATTGGTAAAGAAGTAGCGGAAGGGAAACCAAGGTGAGTTGATGAGTATGTAAATAATGTCTGGAATTGGTAAAGAAGTAGCGGAAGGGAAACCAAGGTGAGTTGATGAGTATGTAAATAATGTCTGGAATTGGTAAAGAAGTAGCGGAAGGGAAACCAAGGTGAGTTGATGAGTATGTAAATAATGTCTGGGATTGGTGAAGAAGTAGCGGAAGGGAAACCAAGGTGAGTTGATGAGTATGTAAATAATGTCTGGAATTGGTAAAGAAGTAGTGGAAGGGAAACCAAGGTGAGTTGTTGAGTATGTAAATAATGTCTGGAATTGGTAAAGAAGTAGAGGAAGGGAAACCAAGGTGAGTTGATGAGTATGTAAATAATGTCTGGAATTGGTAAAGAAGTAGTGGAAGGGAAACCAAGGTGAGTTGATGAGTATGTAAATAATGTCTGGAATTGGTAAAGAAGTAGAGGAAGGGAAACCAAGGTGAGTTGATGAGTATGTAAATAATGTCTGGAATTGGTAAAGAAGTAGATGAAGGGAAACCAAGGTGAGTTGATGAGTATGTAAATAATGTCTGGAAATGGTAAAGAAGTAGTGGAAGGGAAACCAAGGTGAGTTGTTGAGTATGTAAATAAGGTCTGGAAATGGTAAAGAAGTAGCGGAAGGGAAACCAAGGTGAGTTGATGAGTATGTAAATAATGTCTGGAATTGGTAAAGAAGTAGAGGAAGGGAAACCAAGGTGAGTTGATGAGTATGTAAATAATGTCTGGAATTGGTAAAGAAGTAGCGGAAGGGAAACCAAGGTGAGTTGATGAGTATGTAAATAATGTCTGGAATTGGTAAAGGAGTAGTGGAAGGGAAACCAAGGTGAGTTGTTGAGTATGTAAATAATGTCTGGAATTGGTAAAGAAGTAGAGGAAGGGAAACCAAGGTGAGTTGATGAGTATGTAAATTATGTCTGGAATTGGTAAAGAAGTAGCGGAAGGGAAACCAAGGTGAGTTGTTGAGTATGTAAATTATGTCTGGAATTGGTAAAGAAGTAGTGGAAGGGAAACCAAGGTGAGTTGATGAGTATGTAAATAATGTCTGGAATTGGTAAAGAAGTAGCGGAAGGGAAACCAAGGTGAGTTGTTGAGTATGTAAATAATGTCTGGAATTGGTAAAGAAGTAGCGGAAGGGAAACCAAGGTGAGTTGATGAGTATGTAAATTATGTCTGGAATCCATTGGGGGCAGTCGGGAAGCCTAGTGGTTAAAGCGTTCACTCGTCACGCCGAAGACCTGGGTTTGATTCCCAACATGGGTACAATGTGTGAAGCCCATTTCTAGTGTTCCCCGCTGTGATATTGCTGGAATATTTGCTAAAAGCGGCGTAAAATCAAACTCACTCACTCACTCACTGGAATCCATGGCTAAAATCAAATATTGTCATCTCAGCATATTTTCCATGTTAAGATGTAGGTTAGATTTTGTCCTCAGCAACCCATGCCTGTTGTAAGAGGCAACTAACGGGATCAGGTTGTCAGACTCGCTGACTTGCTGACTTGGTTGATACATATCATCTTATCCTAATTGCAGGGATTGATGCTCATAATTTACAGATCGTCATCATATAGCTACACGAAGAGTTAAACAACAAACAAACAAATGACAGTACCTTCACCTCTTCATCCTGTCATTCGATCTTTTCTCCATAACCAATCCCTTCCCTTCAACCCCTCCCCACAAGTCTCCCCCCACTCTTAATCAGCCTACCACCTTCCCTGCTAACTGCATGGATGGTTGCTCATAATATCAATCACTGGTTTGTCTGGTCTATACTTGATCATTAACAGACCCTTGTTACCTGGCTGGAATATTGCTGAGTGTGGTGATAAACAACCCAAAAACTTGAACATGACTTTGCAGAGCCTAATCAATTTTATCTATTTATCTTTTCTCCCTTTCTCTTTTCCATTGGTATTCTTTGCCAAGATTCAATTACTCCCAGGCCACTTTGACATAGCTACAATATTGCTGAATTTGTCATAGAAGAACATTCTCTCTTCTCTTTAGGTTTTATACCCCCTCCCTCCCCCTACTCTCCATCATCTCGCCACCTCCCCCTAACTGCTCTCTTCCCCACCATTTGATGTTGTAGCTTTGATTCATCACCTTATTGATTGCACTGTCTAGTTGTCAATCTGAGTAGCTGTCAATGAGAGATTAATGATCAACAAACACTCATTAGTGTTATTGGTTGCCCGAATTAGAACCCTCTGAACACTGCCAGTATCTACTGATGACTACTTATCACACTGAGTGCTAACTCAGGTTTTATAAGGACATGAATAGCTGGGTTACGGTAACTACCGGTACTTTCTGTAAGTGCTTCTAGGAATAACTCTATGATGGCTTAAAATTGAGAAAGGCCTATAAGATTTATACCTGTTTCAATAAAGGCGAATGTATTTTAAGGTGCGGTATTTTTGAAGCACATTATGGGAGATGCTGCTTGATACTGATCTATATCACTGGCACGTACATGATGGATGGCCCAGTCATCCAAGGCACCACACTTCTCTGTGCAGAGTTGCATCCCTTAGGCCTGCCACAAAATAATTATTGTGTGATTCCATTTTCGTGTCGATTATTTTTTGTTTGTCAGTACAATGCCATGGTTACATGGTAGACGTGTAAGCCTTCATGCCTGATAAATAACTGGAATATGGATGGCAGTTTTAAACTCACTCACTGGCAGCACTGTGTGACCTTGTTCTTTGTGTCATTCTGACTTAACAGAAAGACATAAAAAGATGTTACTTGTTGTTACCCTGCCTGTCACTCGACATCAAGGGGCTAAAACAAGGACTGGTCAGCTCAGAGTCAGTATAGTCTGTGTGAGTGGGGTATTCATGTTAAACGGCATCTCAGTGGGCTAGCACTATAAAAAAACGGCATTAGTCCGTGTGTATGCAGCCTAACACATACACACACACATGTGCATGCACATCGCTATATAAGTGCAATAACTTTGGATGAGACATTAAACCCCATTTCACCTCACCTCTGACCCAGCAGCATGGATCATTGCTCAGCCACTGGTTGGCCTGTGTGATGACTTACAGACCACTGTGACTAAGCTGTAACATTGCTGACTTCTGTGCAAATCATCATGTACTCACTGAGTGTAGGCAACAAAAGGCCAATGATCCCCAACAGAAAGCAGTGTAGCTTTGAGGGGGAACGAAGCCGAGAATCACAGGAGCACTGAATCTATCTCCCCCATAGTCATGACAGTACAGCTGTGTCCTTTCAATCATGTAACACTCTGTACGTTGCTTTTCTCATCTTTCAGCTCAGCGGAAGAGCCCAAGGTCGTGGAGGAGGCCAGCAAGTCATAGAGAAGCCTGGGAGGGTCACCACCTCCTGTGTCAGGCACACACTCCATCCAGGCTAAACCAGTATTGCTATGCATAATGACACTCTAGAACTTAATGTACATAAATGTTATCACTGTACATGAGCTTGGGGCACCAGCTTGGAGCACTCTTCTAGAAATCCAACCTCAGTATCTGGTGATCATTCGTGTTGGGAAGAATACTTAAATCAGTGTTGTGGAATTATAATATGGTCATATCACAAGGGTAGATTCAAATTGGTAGCTTTTGGGATATGTTTCAACATGTCTTTATGGATGGATCACTGGTTTAAATGAAAGGGTTCTTTTCGGGATAGTTTTGTATTCATGTTGCTTTGTTCTGAGATGTTTTGACGATCTCTGTGTGGGGGGGGGGAGCACGGGTGGCCCAGTTGTCGATTCGCTGTGCAGAGTTACGTATTGGGCACACCAATCCCGGTTCAAATCCCGGTTCGCCCCGATTATGTTTCTAGGTTTGTCAGGACCATACCCGTGCTCGTTGGTTTCACTTAAGTGGTAAACGTCTGAGAACTGCATCACTTCAGGCTTTCCTCCCACATTAAGCTGACACGCCGTGATATAACTGGAATACTGTTAAAAGCGGCGCTAAACCCAACTCACTCACTCACCCAACTCACTCACTCTATGTGTGTGGCAAAAGGTGTTGCACTTGGTATCATGCATTTACCAAACATGTCAAAGTTTTGTATTACTGAGAGTAAGCTGTGGCTGATATTGTCATTCAGTGTATATGTGTCATCGGTTTGTTTTCTATGAATTGCAGCAAACAAATACTCTGCTGGTTATGTGTCATCTTATTGTTTGAATGGACACGGGAATGACAGTGAAGGTGATGATGTGTTGGGAGATGTGTGGGATTTCAAACAGTCACCATTTTTATTGACATCACATTAGCTTGCCTGAATTTCATTGTTTGACTTGGTTTTAACTCTGACCAGTTATCACAGAAATCAAAGTATCTTCGCACATTCCTACGTCAGACAAGACCCAACCATTAAGTAGACTTTGTCATAGGATTACCAAATCATTTATTTCAGCATGAATGCCCTTGTAAGACGTGTTGAAATTAGTTAGTTGGTCATTATTAAGATGAGTAATCTAGATGTGTTAAGAATCAGTGCTTACAAAGGGGAGTCTTACTATATAGCTGTATATATGGGTTTAAAATGATAATTTATTTTTCAAATTTATTTGTAAATATTATGTGGTGTAAATATCATTGGAAAACCATATAACCGTGTTATCATATAGTTCGTGTGGGAGTGATTTAGTTCCAGTTTACTGGTTGTGCTTTAAGGCTTTGTGTACACTCGCCGGTTGTAAGGCTAGATATTTGGGGGTTGACCTGCTGCTGACCATGACCTCTTGTGTTTGCAATAACCTTGGATTCAAATCGCTAATCCCACCTTTCCTCTGTTTATGAGTTGTCTGTGTGATGTCAACTCATGCCAGACTTCCCCTGTGATCTGTATGTGGAGCCCATGTAGATATTGTGTTTTTGTTATTATTGCGTTTCCTCCTGTTGCCTTGGAACTAGAAATGTTAAGTGATTAAAGAAAGGCCAGACTAATTTGATTTGCAAAACTGACCTTCAACTTTTAGCCTTTTTCAAAAAGTAGAAATTAATAAGAAACCTTTTAAACCCACATTTAGAAAGTGGTTAAATGTAACAGATGTTATATTTGGGATAACACTTTCTTAGTAAAGTACAGATTCTAGTACTTTTAGAACTTGAGTCCCATCCAGGATTCGAACCCACACTGCCAGAGTGAGCACACCACACAAAGTCAGCGACCTAACCCACTCAGCCACTGAGGCTTGGAAGTGTGATAATTGGTAGTCTAGATTGCTGAGTATGAGAATCTGTACTTTACCAAGAAAGTGTTATCCCATATATAATATTTGTTACAAGAAACCTTTTATCTCAAAAGTTTGTGTCACATTGACATTTTGACTGAGCTCTCCAGCTCACTTCAGCAAAGATTTCAGCTTTAGTGAAAGGATAGAATATTTTCACGAACATATATCCCCAATATGTTGGGTTGTATTGTTGTACACAAGAAAATATTATAATAGGCACAAGCTGTAATAAATTGAGGCATTGATATTTTTTTCTATAGATACTTCATATTTTATTCCCAGATACAAATGCGTAAAATAATTAATTAAGTTGATCTGGCCTAAGTATGATTGACAATTTCAAGATTTATGACTTTTAGATTCCAGTTAGGCTTTCTTGTTATTGATATCATATAAATACAAATGTAACAAGACTTTAATACGTAGAAATTCATTTAAATGTAGAATAGACAATGCATAATTAACATAATGTTCTGTATGTTCATTTGTGTCTCAGCATCCTTTATTGATTAATAATGCAGCATTAAACAACAAACAAACAAACAAACAAACAATGTTCATTTGAGGTCCCAACCACACTGATTCCACTAGACACTGTACTGTTATGTCCAAGTCATTGTGGCCACTACAGGACTGTTCCTGCATGTTCCAGTCACAGCCTACTTATCCCCCATCACTGCTCTTCAGACACATGGTACTTTATGAATGTAGAAACATAATGACATCTCCTTGGGTCTACTCTAGTTCGGGCTAACAACTGTCATTTGTAATTGAATAATTGAAGAATACCTGTGGCACCACAGGGAATAGCTTTTCATGTTGATGTGAACAGAAATTAATTGGGCAATATATTTTGGTACGATGTATATTGCAGGAAATATGTCTTCTGAATCCATAGTGTACCTAGGAAAACAACAACATAGCTTTTCATCTGTGAATCGTTCTGAGAGGATTTAGCCATGAATACATGGTATCTGCCACCAACACCAGACATTAACCATGTTAACACAAGCATACAAAATGCCCATGAAAAAACATATGCTCTAATTTTGTTAATGAGAGCTACAAATTCTTGCCTCTTTTCTTTATCCATTCTGTGTCATTTCAGTCTCAAGGATCTTGATAATAGATTAATGTACGGTAACACAAATTATCAATATAATTGTGTCTGCATTTACTGTATTATTATAAGGGTTACGCTATTTTTCAGGGCATTATCATTTGCAGAAGCTCGAGGTCTTCTATTAACTGCGAGACGAAGAATCTACCATATTTATCACATGTAATGTTTGAATATGGCGTTATGGAATAGATACTTAGACAAAATCGACTTGAGGAGTCCACATTGCAATGTAGATGAACAAAGATGCGTCAATTTGATGTCTTGCCATGTGACATGTGTCAGAGCTTAGTCTAACTAACCCTATGAAGTATGTTTTATGTAAGGTAGGTAGATGAGATCTATGGTAGTATATTTACACTGTAATATATCATTAATTTACAGGGTCAACATTTCAGACTATGTAATGCTGTTACTGAACCTCAGAACAAATATCTTTATTTAACCTGGCACAAGCATGTAGATAGGTTGTGATCTGTCAGATTCTTACTTAAGATTGCTGACAACAGACCACCATTTTCCATGATGACAGACGTCCATGTTTCCTGACGACAGACCACCACTGTCCATGATAAAAGATCCCTACGTTCTATGACGACAGGCCACCAGGATGTTGTGTGATGGTCTGACACCAGGGATGGTCCCTGGAGAGACAGTAATGAGAGTGTTTTTGTTATCTCGGGGCAATCAACACAGCTACTCACCATCATTATACAGGGGATATCATGCTTCTTTGTACAGCAGGTAGTTATTGTAATTCGAAATCACTGCTTGTTTTGTACCACTTTGTAAAATGAACATTACTTCATTAGCATGTGATCTTGAAAACTATGTGGAATTTGTATATGAAGCAAACATGTTCTAGAGGACAACTGTGATGACTGGATTAACACATCACCCTTCCTGCCTCTATAGTGACAATTGATATTATCAAGCAGGATAAGCAGAATTTGTCATGGTGATAATCATATGGTAATCCATAATTTTTTTCTCTCTTAATTTTGGAAACAATATTAGGTCAGATATAGTATTGTTGTGTTTAGGTAGATTTACATGAAAGGTGAAGGAGGACAATGTGACAGTGTATGCTAGAACTTAAAAAGTCGGGACAATGTGACAGTGTATGCTAGAACTTAAAAAGTCAGGACAATGTGACAGTGTATGCTAGAACTTAAAAAGTCAGGACAATGTGACAGTGTATGCTAGAACTTAAAAAGTCAGGACAATGTGACAGTGTATGCTAGAACTTAAAAAGTCAGGACAATGAAAAGTTATCCCCAGTAACACACATCAGAACTGTCCTCAATAATAATTTCGTACTGACAAAATCCTTTTGATGATCAAAATCTTTTTCACTCAATTTTGGTAACAATATAAGAACAAGTTTCACAAATGTCCTGAAAAATATGTTTAAAATGGTAAAATTGAAGAACTACAAATACAATCAAGGTCATAAGAAACCAATTACACTTGCCATTATAGGTAAGATTTATTTTGTGTCTGGAAATGAAATTATCTTGGTCGAGTTGCAGCTGTAATCCTATAAAAAATTTCCTTTCATTGCCAAACTTTCTTCAAAGACTTGCCGGAATTGTTTTCTTTATTCCATACATGTCTGAATACTTTTTATATTCTTTGATGGCTTACACATAACCACACAACACATTGGGTACTGGTGTTTCTGGAGCAGAAATGACTATACTATTTTTTGTTCAATCAAACTTGCCATTATGTTTGTTTTTTCCTTCAAGAGATTACAACTTAAGAAATACGGCAGGGGCATGTTTAAAATGTATTGATTTGTCCCTGTTTGAAATGGGGTGATTGATAATAATGAAGGTGAGAGGAGACAGTTAGGGTGTCGTTTGTCAGTCTTAAATAAGCATGTGCTTGTAAGTAGACAGTTGATCCAATATTAGGAGGATGTTGGTTGGGGTCAGACTGGGTTGTAGCAGATAAGATACCTTCATCACATCATTATCAACTTCATTGAGCCTGATTTATTATTCTGAGTTTATGATATGACAAAAATGTGTGTTTCTGTAAACGCTAATATTCTTTGAGAAAATGCATCAATTGTGTGTGGTTAGGATGACAAAGATAATGAGATTTGACCAAGCATCTGTACTTATTTTATTGTTTAGCGGGGGCACGGATGGCCCAGTCGTCTAAGGTACCGCAATTCACTGTGCAGAGTTGCGCCCCTTGGGCACACCAGAAACCTATGATTGTGGGTTCAGAACAAATGTACTATGATCTGTGACCTATCAGTTCCATGACTAACCTAACAAATCCCACTGTGTCTGGGACAGCTGTGATGGCCAGTTGATGCCACCAGATCTCACTGATATAAATGACCTGTCTGACACTTGAGGAAGACACAAGCAGCTCCTGTTAGATTCAGAACCGTTGTTGGTCCCAGTCACATCATCACCTGATATTATATATACAACTCCCATAATGGAATATTGGGGATAATTGCTTCTATTTTCATTTAGTCTTTTTTGTCAAGCGTTAAGAAGAATAGATGTTTCATTGCTTATTGGTTCAAAGGATTATGTTCCAATTTCAAAATCTCTTTATAAAAAGTCCCCCTTTGATCCCATTAATGGTTAGATTTGACTAATGTGAACATACAGAGGACCACCTTTATCTCTCTAAGTCTGTTAATACAACCTGATGTATCCTTGTATATCATGTTCAGACTAATATTTTAGAAGCCTGTTGTTAAGGTATTTGTATGTGATATTATTTATTGCTACACAAAATCTTGTTTTCTGTGAATTTATATTTTAGTGAAATAATGTTAAAGAAACATTTTGTTGAAGCATTTAACCTGCTTTAACCTTAAAATGTGATTTAATTTATTGTTTCCTTTTGTTATCCTTATATTTCACATTTTTGTCTATCATAAACTGTTTCCGTTTTTCATATGAATAGTATACTTTTAAGTATTTGTTGGGACATTTGTACATATATTTTGGTGGTCCAAATGTCATAGGGACAACATATTGAAACAAATGTGGACTTTATTGAATAAAATGGTAAAAAGCCAGTTATTAGCAGTTGTATTTGATGTAAACATTAAAGAGGATTTCAATCAACAAAGTACTGCCTCTATGGCCTAGTGGACAGCGTCTGCCTAGGAGACGATATACTGTGTCTGAGTTGGCTAGCAAAAGTCCGGGATAATACAGGCAGCAACACTGACACACACGCACAGGCATGCAGGTCGCTATGTAGATTGCAAGGATCTTGAGCACGACATTAAACCCCACCTCAGCATCACATCGCCTTGCATCGCATTGCAGCGCATAATACAGTGTGAGAGAAAATGTAGTTGAGAAGTACTTGTATCAAACTTGCCGCGGCACCCCACTGGGCCACCTCTTGTGTCTGGATAACTTCATGGCTTGCTTCCAAACTTGTCTGTAATCGTTCGGAGCAGAACTAAATAAATATTCACTGTTTCCTTTTGAACTTTGCATATTTAGCAGCCAGTGAATATCATGAACGTATCTCAAGCCCATTCAATCGTTCGCCAAAGGCACCCTGGGAGCTGTGAGGATGTATGACAAGTACCAATCACATTTTATACGTGACTGATATACATATGCATAATTCTGTGATACTGAGGTTTAGATACAGTGGTTTAATGCTCTTACTGATCAGACCCACAAACATGTACGTTATCTAGGCTGTTGGTGTTGCATCCTTCTCTGTGTAAGGATTTGTAATGAATAAGTCATTATAACTTATTTGAGAAGAAAAATGGGTATTGTCAATCCAATATATGTATCAGCTATATCAACTAAGATCTGGAGAGATCGAAAAGCCCTTTTGAAAAGCCCGGATGTACAGCAGACACTCTCTGTATTCCCTGTTTAAACCGGCCATGATGTCATGTATATTCTCACGCAAGGCTAAAGATGCAATATATCACTATGTGAATGTTCGCGTACCACTGCACTGTCGACGTATATACCTTTAAATACCTTTGAAAATCAACTATTCGCTGTTCAAAATTTCCAGACTGTTGACCGTGTCGTGAGATGTCTCCTAATACAGGAACAAGAATGGCGCCAGTGCTGCCAAAATAATTATCCATGTTTTTCAATAACAATATGTTGATATAACCTCTTAAAATATTACACCATTCAAACCCATTACCGTTTTTATACAAGATATAAAAGAAATCAGATGGTGATACAATGACAGATCCCCACCAGGCCAGCTGCGGCTAATTGTCATTCCTTACAGATGGGTGCACGTAGTGACGACAAAGGAGATTGTGACGTATAAAGTGTTTCATTGCCATCAGTGATCAATTAATCTAATTTTCACCACTCGTTTGCCTTTTACGCCCAGTGAAATCTGTTTCGGCAGACAATCGAGACAGATTATTCTCTGGGGTAGACTTCTTATCTTATATAAGCGGGAGAGTATAACTACATACTGACCATCAAGCGAAACCCTTCAATACGATAGAAGGACAGTGGGAGGTAATATTCAGTGTTGAATAAGCTCTAGAAATTCCATATACTGCATTGTCTGTGTTACTGGATAAAGCCCCTGTTTACCGGCTATTTTTGTATGGACCTGTAATAGTGATTAGTGATACAGACCAAACTGGTTGATCAAACCTCGAACCACACATTGTAACTCCTGCTGGACCGAGCATCGCAATGTTCCCTGATCATGGTGGTAGAACCATAGCGGGTCGCTAATCTGTACTAATACATGCTGGACTGCGCGCCACAATGACCATTGATCTGTTATCCACGTTTAACCATGTTGGTAGACTATAGCTGGTGGCTAATCTGTGGGATACTGTCTTATGAGTGACAGAAACAACAGTTCCATTGTGACATGACGTCATGTCTGTGATGACCCTTGTTTAATGTTTCTTGTTTCTATCTTAACTGTATTTACCCACTGGGGATTTGTGGTGGGGTCACTTTACATGCATTGTGAGGACTGTCATATAAACAAAAATCCTTTTTCTTCATTTACGTGAGACACTGTAACATCAAAGTGAATAGACATATACAACAAATATGAAATTGTGCCTTTTGCCCTCAATGGAAGTACTCCAAACTTGTACACTATGTGGAACTTTTGTCCCTCCGCGCCATCGTTCTGGAATATTGCTAAAAACGAAGTAAACATCTACACACACTCACGAAGCAAGCAAGGTATCGGTTCCCGGTTGCTGGTGAAGTCAGGAAAACACATAAGTGTTGGAAACTAGCCTCTCACCCATATCATGGTGATGGGGACACTTCGTACATTCCTCCCACACCAAGCTGTCACACTGTGACATAACTGTAGTGTTGTCCACGGCGGCTTTAAACCCAACTCACTCACTCAAGTGTAGTCACTTGCTATGATGGTCTTCATGAACAAATATAGTTCAAAGTGGTTTTATTTCTGTCACACCATTACATAAAGTACATGTACATAAAGAAGATAAAAGTCAATGGAGCATAATACATTCAACGTATGTACAAACGTCACCCAAACGGGTTATGTGAGACAAATATAGTTTCCCTTTATAGTGTGCTTTATAGTGTGCTACCGTTATAGCAACACATTCATATTCTTCTCCCACCACCTATGGGGATATTAGATGCTAATCCTTATGTCTCCATCCACGACGCATGCAGTGCGATAACGCAAACAAGGCAAGACTTGGGCCAAAACGTTTTTGATATTTCATTCCAGTTTACATCATTACCCGTCTGTAAACACAAATACTTTGACCTACTTTGCTCTACCAATAACTGATCATCCTAATTACACAAGAACAATGTCTCCACTTCACACAGTGCTTCATTACAACGTCTAGACTTAAACTAGGTATGTGCAGCAAGTAGTCATATCCTATTACTGACATACGAATGCGACCCATGCGCCGTTCAGGGGAGATCTGTACATCATGACATACTCTTTCAGCCATCTATACAACATTACATACCCCCAAAATACACCACCGAAACGCGGATTTGCATTTTACATCATTGAGGCATCGGTTTTTATTTTATAAATACATTTTAATTTAATCCCGGGTACAAAGACGTAGAGCAAATAATTAAGTTGATCTGGCTTAAATATGAATGACAATTCAAAGATTTATAATATTTAGATTCCAATTTGCGACTTGTTATTGTTTATTATTAATTTCATATCAACAAAATGTAACAAGACTTTTATGCGTAGAAAATATTATTTAAATCATGAAATATACAATGCACGATTAATATAATGTTCTGTATTGTTATTTGTATCTCAACATCCCAACCAAACTGATTCCACTAGACACTGTACTGTTATGTCCACGTCCCAGTGGCCACTACAGGACTGTTCCTGCATGTTCCAGACACAGCCTACTTATCCCCCATCACTGCTCTTCAGTCACATGGTACTTTATGAATGTAGAAACATAATGGCATCTCCTTGGGTCTACTCTAGTTCAGGCTAACAACTGTCATTTGTAAATGAATAATTGAAGAATACCTGTGGCACCACAGGGAATAGCTTTTCATGTTGACGTGCTTTGAACAGAAAGAAATTTGTAAATATATTTAGCTGCCTTGTATATTTGCATGAAATAAATGTTGTCGTCTGAATTCAGTACGTCAAACGAAGGTGATTTGGTAAAAGCACACTTGGGAAAGATATGTAGCTCTCGTATAACACAAATATATGCACTTCATTGCACGTGTCATTTAAACGGTAATACAAATGTACTTCCACATTAAACATGTATAAGAGCTTGCACCAAGGTAGTACACATCTATGGCCTGTGTCACTTTGGGATTTCCTTCCACAACAAGCTGACTCACTGTGAGAAATGGGTTTAAAGTTCGAAGCAAGTCTTTGAAGTATTTCTTCCGTATATAGTTGAAGTTAACCTCCACTCACTCACTCACTCACTCCCTCATTATGTATGCTACAAATTCTTGCATCTTATCTCTGTCCATTCTGTGTCATTTCAGTGCTTCATAAATAGATTAATGTAACACATATTATCAAAATAATTGTGTCTGCATTTACAATATCCTATCCTTTTACCATCTGTACCACATTTAATGCATGAATATGGCGTTATGAAATATATATTTTGACAAAATACAATTGTGGATTCCACAATTAATATTGCAATGTAGATGAAGAAATTTGCGTCAGGGTGATATCTTGCCATGTGTGATATATCAAAGATTAGTCTAACTAACCCTATGAAGTATGTTGTATATAAGATAGATTGATGAGATCAAGGTAAGTATTAATTCACTTAAATACATAGTTCCTCTACAGTGTATTAAGACTATGTCATACCCTTAAGTCAAGTCATCGTGTGGGAGGTTGTCTGTTCCGAACTTTTATTTACACTCAGGCCGATATCAGCGGCATCAGAGCTACACAAGTATTTCAACAACATAATACATATACATATAGATATAGACTAGATGCAAAAACATCTTTGCCGAGCATGCATGCATATTTATAGAGATTCACTAGGGTAGCAATATATCTATGTCCAATTCAATAATAGGGAGAGTTTCTTGATAGGCTTAAACAATGACATTATGAGTTTACAGAATTTAAAAAAAATATTTAACGTTCATGATTTTTAATTAGTGAAAAGTAAATTCATTTTTACACTTTGGGTTCGATGTTGTAGAATCTGTACAACTTGTTTTCTTTCATTTTCCGTACAAATAAACAAATAATGGAATTATGTTAAAGGTATTTTACTCCATTTCCCAGTTTCAATAGGTAGATTATGCTTACAAATTCTCATCTACAGTAAGACTCGCCAAACGTGTTCCTGCAAAATAGTATTGAAAAAAATAGGCAATTATTTTGTATTATATTATACATTGTGCATTTTGAAGACTTATCTCTTGTACTTATCTCTTGTCCAACACTAGATTAATGTCATGGACTAAATGTTTTAGATAAGTAGGATTTGTTAAACTTAATGAAACACAGATGTAGCTAAGTCCAAGTTCGTTAAAACTTCGTTTGATATACGTAATCCATTTATGTTTA